GCTTCTAGAACTTTTCGTCTTCGGTTTCAAACATAGCTTTGAATTTGTCATCTAACTTGTTTTCTTGACAATGTCCGGAAGACATGTTGTATGTTTGTTTTAATTGTCAAATATATTGTAATAGTTTCTCTTCAAAACAATAGTTTTAAACTTAATAGAGAGACTCTAAAACAACAACAACAACAAAATACGTTAAGAGACTTAAGAAACAACACAATACAAAATCATAGTTTTCTTAGCACATTTTCCCATTACTGATGAATTTTGATGATCTTACGAAACCTTTCTCGAGGTTAATTACACCTTCTCCTCTGAGTAAGACGTCTCTTCATCTTAGGCAATGTTTCTCCACCATGAGCAAGCACTGATCCGAAACCTTTCCTCTTCTCACCAACACGACAATCTCCATCCTTAGACGAAACCGTAACTTCAAAACTTTCCATTTCTTTAAGAACAAGTTGAAGAGTATCAGCTTCACGTAAAGCGAAACTAGTCATCTTACGTTCAATCAATCCTTCAACGTACTTGTACAAACCACTTTTCACGTCTTCTTTCCTACAAAAATAAAGAACTGCTTGCTTTTTCATGTACAATATTGATGGCTACATCAAATCCTGAAACTGGCAAGTACTTGTCTCGTAGACGAATTCCAGTCTCACTATCTTTCTCCTGGAACGCACGAGTCTTTTTTAGCTCAGAGCTATACTCAGCAAACTGAGCGTTAAAGGCTCTGATCATAGCCGATTCAGCAACCGTCCTCCCTTTTGTTGTTGCTCGTCTCTTCAGCTTCTCGCTACGTTGAACCTCCACAACGGCTTCGATATCGGCTTTGGTTTTCATTCATCCGCAAACTTGGTAGATGTGAAAGAGATTCATCTCGTGGTTTAAAGAATATACCCCTAAGGAGTTTGCCTTGGCTAACACACTTTTGCGTACATCTTTGTAAGGAATCGTAGTGAGGATTTGGACATGTTTAACCATTTGGGCTGCTGTTAAATAGAAACGATTGTACAAATCAGATAGAGTAAAGCCGTCGACTTGTATCTGGTTCTCACGCAGTGGCTCTAAGCATTCTTGGAGCTTCTGGAACTTTTCGTCTTCGGTTTCAAACATAGCTTTGAATTTGTCATCTAACTTGTTTTCTTGACAATGTACAGAAGACATGTTGTATTTTTGTTTTAATTGTCAAATATATTGTACTATTGTTATTTTAGAACATTTAAGGTAAAGACACTTATATAAAGCAAATGAGTTGCCGTGAGTGTGTGATAAAGAAAAAGGAAAAATAAAACGATTTATTAGGTGCATGCATTTACAAACACGCTGCTTCATTTTCCCATGAGCTTAGTCGAAAAAAAACATCATTTAGGTCTTTAAGCACGCTGCTTCATTTTCCCATGCATGAGTGAGACGAAAAGACCATAACGGCTCAATTCAAAGGCCAAAGCCACTTACAGATTTAATGTGACTATCGTTTGTTTTATATCCCACATTCAAGTTAATTAGTGTTGTGGTAATTGTGTTTATTGTTCTGTTTAAATAACATAACAAAGAGACTTCGTAAGAGTGTGTGTTTTTTGTTAAAGATCAAAGAGTGTTGAACGTCCAAAGCATGCGAAATCGTTACGACTAGAAGCCAATTGATATGTTCCATCAGATCTTGATGACTCAACGTGCTAAGTTGACATATTTGATGCTTTCTAAATATGGTGATTATAAGAAAATTACGTTAAAGAGAGAGTATGTTTTGATTATACTTAGTTGATAAGGACACAATTATTCTTTATTTAGATAGTTGCAAGTAGAAGGGGTGAGCAATCTAGGGATTGGTGACCTTCTTCTACGTTAGATAGAAAACCTGGAAATAGTAGAAGCTAGCTCAAGAGTCTAGCATTTTTTGTCGCATACACACGACAATAACAATTATTGAAAACAAGGAAAACGACAACACATAGATCGTGGATATGCTTGTAAATTAGACAATTTCAACTTCCTTAGCTGATCCCTTGGTGCAGATATTAGAACATGACTTGGTGCATTGTACAACCGCTCCATTCACAATTTCACTTGGATCTAATTCACCAAAAACAATATTAGAATTAACTGATTGTTCTCATCTTCTAATAATCTAATATTAATAGTTAAAAGTAATGAGCTTACCTAAGTTCTGGAGAGTGGTTAAGGCACCACACACAGAGGACACACACCCCAACTTACAGTATTCGTTGACAACATCACCTTGATAAAAAAAAAGAGACACAAAATGTCATGTGTTAGAAGATAGTATAACTTAATAAAACAACAAAGAAAGAAAAAGAAGAAAATTGAAGTACCAGAGTTTTCGAGAATGTCATGTGTATATCCCGGAGGACATGTTGTTCCCTCGATAAGTTTGCATCCACAGAGTATTGCACAAGTTCCCTTAGCAGTCCCTGGAATACGGCATCCATTGTAACAGTTTCTAGGAGCCGTGTTCGGGCAACAACTCTTAGCTTCGACTTGAATCTGCGCCATGACAAGACTCATTATAATCATACTTAAAATCACAGTTTTACCTTCCATCTTTTGATTGATTCTTCGTTTGAATATCCCAAATTGTACTTAGAGAAAACACTTAAAGATTTATAAACTCGTATCGATGAAATGGTGATGAGACAACACTCGCTTAAATACTAGTTTTTGACAGTGTTTTTCTTTCTTTTGTTTGTTAAGACTTACACTATAGCCTATAGGTACCGACAACAAACATCTTTCAATACCGACATACTACAGTAGTTGTTCACAGTGTTTTTCTTTCTTTTGCATGTGATTGCATAATCCAAATCTAATAAATTGACAGAAAATATTTTTTAATATCGAATTTTTCAAGCATAGATGTGACAGAAGAAGGCCAAAACACGTAATTATAACAAATTAACTGTATCAATACTTTCATATATTCAGTAACTGTAAAAAAGTTATGACAAGGTGATTGATGATCTTTCCGGCGATTTTTATTAGAAGTTAAAACCTTTCTAAATTAATAAAAAGGTTTTAGAAATTTATTCTAAACTAAATTGATATATTGTGAGACTTAAAGGCCAAACAACTTGATAAAAAAATAATATGACAAGAAAATACTTTGTAATTAAGCTCACATAAAGATCACTTGCAGTCCTTGTAAACAGGCTTCAAGTAAAAATATAAGTCTACATATAATAAGGATTCAGTGAATGTCACTTCTTATGTGAAATTTGATGAACATCGTTGAATAAAACAGAAGAACAAAACTGAAAACAAAAACAAAAAAATTGTTAGAATAAGTCCCTGCGAGACTAAGGTTGTCACTTTGTGTAGATATTTAGAGATGGTCACTCTTTTTTTCATGTAATTTAGAGATGGTCACATCTTGACTTCTTGTATAGATATTTTATTTTATTTTTATAAGATTAAACGAGAATTCTTGTGTAGATATATTAAAAAAAAGTTTTTGGTATTGTATATGAAGGGTTTTATTACCTTATGTGAAATAATCATAAGAGGACTAATTTGTGTGTCTGGCTTGATTCAGTGATAGCGATCCAAGAACCATGTTTTTCGTTTCTTGCTTTTAACTTTTGGGACCCTTTGCATACGTTGGTCTTCCACTATGCTATATAGAATATGTTGTTTCTTGTTTGGTTACTACTATGAGATAGCGATCCAAGAGCAACGTGTTTTACGTTCATGTACTATCTACTATATAAATATTTGAGATGCTATTAAGCTTAATTTAGGGGATGGTTACTAATTCATTTATGTCTTACACATTACTGTTTTGTAAGGGAGCAAAGCAAAAATCCATCTAGATGCTAAATGACCAAACAAACAAGACAAGAAATGATTTATCTCGCGGTCTATTTGGATGAAAATGTGTTTTTTTGTTTATTTACATTTTTCATCTAGGTGGATTTGACTTTAAAAATGACTAAAATACCATGTTTGTTCTAATGATTTTTTTTCGTATTCATGTTAATCATAGTAATTTTAATTATTGATCTAAAATATATATATACACCTAAAAGATTTACAAATTATTATTTTTAACATTTTTAAATTTCAATTTTCATGAAAAATAATCTTTTATAAGATTTAAAACATCGTAGTTTTGGTGGGAAAACGTAATTTTATGATTTTAACGAGAAAATGCAATTTAAGTTTATGGCGGGTAAATGTATTTTTGCAGTTATGCCAAAAATGTGATTTTGTGTTTTTTTTTTTGGAAAATCTATTTTACAATTTTTACAAATAAAATATATGATATTTGTAAAAATATTATTTATAATTTTGTTGACAAATTTATATTTGTTATTTGTCATTTTTGGATGAATTATTTCCATCTAGATGATCTAACTAAAGTCAATTAAATGACTTTCAAAATTTTGCCTAAAAAAATTTGAATTTATCCAGATAAATCATCTTGGATGATTCTGGATAATTTCTTTATCTGGATAATTTCATTTTTAAACTTAAATGAATATCATCTGGATAGTCCATCTGGATGATGAAACGAACAGAGCATAGAGATTTACAAGAATGGAGAATAATATGGACAACACATTGATATCAAGTAATAGGAGACGAAAATAATTGAAAAAGGTAGTGAGAGATGAATCCAAAGTAAGAATCCACTATATATGATCTTTAAGGGACGAGCAAGGAACACAAAGGAGGAGCCACCTTAAAGGAGAATCTCCTATATATGATCTTTAGTATTATTATGAACTGCTCCAAGAATCGACTATATATGATCAGCTTCCTTCACCTCTTTTCAGTATTCAGCAAAGAGATCCATGTTTCCCTGTAAACTTAGTTATTTTATCAATAGTTCAATACATAAACCTTCCTTGTGTGTCTATAAGTACATAAACTAATATTAAAATTTAAATTTCATACACGAATAAAAAAAATCCACAAATCTTTCAATTCAAAAGAAATCTACATTAGTAAGATTGCGGCGGAATATTTTGATGAATTGTTCACCACGACCAGCCCGGTCGAGTTCGATAATGCACTCGAGGAGGTCCAAGACGTGATTACTGATGATTTGAATGAGATGCTTCTGGCACCAGTTACGGAAAAGGAGGTTCAAGAGGCTCTCTTCATGATGCACCCGGATAAAGCACCGGGTCCCGACGGTATGACAGCGTTGTTTTTCCAAAAAGCGTGGGGTGTAGTTAAACAAGACTTGGTACATTTGGTAGATTCTTTTTTTCAAGAGGGTTGTTTTGATAAGAGGCTGAACCGGACGAATATTTGTTTAATCCCAAAAGTAGAGAGACCACGGCAAATGACGGAGCTACGACCGATTAGCTTATGTAATGTGGGTTACAAGGTTATTTCTAAGGTGTTATGTCAAAGATTAAAGCTAGTCCTCCCTCGACTTATCTCGGAAACTCAAACTGCTTTTGTTGCTGGCCGTTTGATCTCGGATAATATTTTGGTAGCCCAAGAGATGTTTCACGGGCTCCGGACTAATCCCTCTTGCAAGGGTAAGTTTATGGCTATAAAGACGGATATGAGTAAGGCGTATGATCGGGTCGAGTGGGAGTTTGTTCTCCGTCTGCTTCGGAAAATGGGATTTGCGGAAAAATGGATCTCATGGATAAAGTTTTGTATCTCCTCGGTAGAGTATAGGGTGCTGATTAATGGACAACCTCAGGGTCATATTATTCCAGGCAGAGGATTACGACAAGGTGATCCCTTATCTCCGTACCTCTTTATTATGTGCACTGAAGTACTTATTGCAAATATTAGGAAGGCCGAGCGAGGTAAACTCATTACGGGGATTAAGGTGGCAAATAAATGCCCTCAGGTGTCTCATCTATTGTTTGCCGACGACAGTTTGTTTTTCTGTAGGGCCGTATCAGATCAATGCACGGTTATTCTTGGTATTCTCAGGCAATATGAGGAAGTTTCGGGACAACAGATAAATTTTGCAAAATCCTCAGTACAATTCGGGCACTCGGTGGATTCTAATACTAGAGCGGAGATTCAAGGAATCCTTGGGATCACGAATATTGGTGGAATGGGCTCGTATCTGGGGTTACCGGAAAGTCTGGGGGGAGCAAAAACGAAGGTTTTCTCTTTTGTTAGAGATCGATTGGATAGACATATTAATAATTGGTCAGCGAAGTTTTTATCCAAGGGAGGGAAGGAGGTGATGATAAAATCGGTGGCTTCTGCTTTACCGACTTATGTGATGTCTTGTTTTCGACTTCCAAAAACAATTACATCAAAGTTGACTAGTGCAGTGGCTAAATATTGGTGGAGCTCGAATGGTCAAACAGGGGGTATGCATTGGAAGGCATGGGATAAGTTATGCTCCAGTAAGCAGGCAGGCGGTCTAGGGTTCCGAGATGTTAATGATTTTAATTCGGCACTTTTGGCTAAACAGCTGTGGCGGTTGATAGAGGTTCCGGATTCACTTTTTGCTAAGGTTTTCAAAGGAAGATATTATAGGAATTCAACCCCTATGGATATCAACAAATCTTACTCTCCGTCGTACGGATGGAGAAGTATTTGCTCAGCGCGTTCTCTGGTGGCTAAAGGGCTAATCAAAAGAGTTGGTTCAGGTGATTCTATTTCTGTTTGGACGGATCCCTGGGTGCCATCTCAATTCCCGAGACCTACTGTAAGTAAGGGGCTGTTATTGGACCCTTCTCTTCAAATTAGACATCTTATCGATCGTCAGTCAAACTCCTGGAAGCTGGAAAGGTTACAGGAATTTTTTTCCTCCGAGGATGTTACAATCATAGGAGCTATACCACTGGGGATTACAATGTGTGGTGACTCCTTTGGTTGGCATTTCACGAAGACTGGAAAATATACGGTGAAGTCAGGTTATCATACGGCTAGGCTACCAGATCCAAGGGCTACGGTATCCCAGGTCTGTGGACCGGATATTATTCCCCTTAATAAGGTTTGGAAAGTAAGATGCCCGCCAAAAATACAACATTTTATGTGGCAATTACTGACTGGATGTATTTCGGTCTCGGCTAATTTAAGCAAGAGAGGTATAAGTTGTGATAGTATTTGTGCTCGGTGTGGGAGCATTGAAGAGACGGTAAATCATGTCATTTTTGAATGTCCCCCCGCGCGTCAGACGTGGGCTCTGGCAAATGTTCCTGTGGGTCCCTTTTTCTTTCCCACTGCCTCGGTATTCGCAAATATGGATTATATGTTAAAAATAGCACTAGAAGGAGATCCGGAGGGTTTTTGTCCCTGGTTGATGTGGTACATTTGGAAGGCGAGGAATGCGAAAGCTTTTGAAAATAGAGACGAGAATCCCATGGAGATTCTACAGATAGCTATGGAGGAGGCTAAGGTGTGGCATGAAGCTCAGGTAGATGATTCTGGTGTTAATATGGGCCTTATTGACTAGGAGAGAGGACGGCAGGGCGGGCCAGGCAATTTGCCTTCAGTGACAGAAGGTTATCGATGTTTTGTTGATGGGTTTTGGAAGCAATCTGACAAGTTTACAGCTTTGGGGTGGTTTTGTCAGAACGTTAAAGATTCAACGACAACAATGGGTGCCTCCAATCTTCGCCGTAGTCTTTCTCCGTTGCACGCGGAAGTTGAAGCTCTAGTGTGGGCGATGCGATGCATGATTGGGCATAATCACAGAGATGTTACGTTTCTAACTGAC